GTAATCTAAACAGGAGTTGTTTTTTTCTGGATCTGTACGAAATTTCAGACGTGTTATGATTGTGTAAATTCCTCTTAATGGCTTTTCATTTGTTTGTACACTAAATGTGCAGTCATATTTTAATTTGTTAGAGGTGTAAAAACCTGGTAAGGTGGTGTTCCACGTCTGTGTTATAATTGCGGCCGAGTGTCTTTCATCTGTAAGAGTTACTTTTGGATTTCCCCGAAACGGTTTTTGTAATGTAATAAAAAACTTATCCGCACAAAGATAATCCTGTAAACGAACTAAACATGAAAAAGTATTAATGAGGAAAGTGCATTGTAAATTTTAGTCATGTATTACCATATTTGTAGCCCTGACTGGTGTTCACATTACCTATAATAAATAAGCAAACACACATACAAAATCCGGAATTAAACATTTAAGGCTTTGGCAACATAAAGAAAAACTAAAAAGTACAAATAATACAAGACTTTTAATCACACTCAAATTAATAGTTTTGAATTCATAGAAATCTCTACTATTTAATATTTATGTTTTGTTTGCACAGCACTTAATCATCAGACTCTGCTGTCAATCTACGACTTGTTTATTCCACTGTTCTGACTGACTTTACGATGCTGAACTAGATGACACACTTTTTCTAATTTTTTTTAAAGTTTAAAAAACTCTATTAATCAATTAATGACGCAACGGAAAATACGTGAAAACGAAAAAAATTGTTTTAATGATAAAATCTTCCTGTATACGAAATATATGAATAATTTATAGATATACATAGTTGAATTAGAGGAATATTTTTCAGAGTTAAATTTTGTATGAAGAACTCCAGGCGTGATGTTCTTTAGTTGATCCATTGTTCTTGCATTTAATTGCGAAAATGTTTCAACAAATGTATAGAAAAAACAACACTAATAAAAACAATTGTATAATTGTTGAGCCTTATATTTACTTTTCAGTTTACAAAGGGCTTTGGGGTAGCGAATCATTGTTTAACCTGGCGAACGACCTAACTCTACAGCCAACCTCTAATCTTCAGCCTTTATTTTGAGCCCCTAAGCTCTAATGGGAGATTCAGGAATTGATGCTGATGATGATGATAATTATTTTTCGTAATCCTGATTTTTTATTTATATATATTTGAAGTCAAATTTTTGATAAACGGAACTAGTAAAACAAAAAAAAACATGAAATGCAGTATTCAGGAATGCATTTATGAAAAATGCAAACAGCAATAAAACACCATTTCATGAATTATCCTTCAGATATATGTACAGAGTTCAAACAGAACAAATATTTTTACGAACATATTCATAAAATAAAGGTATAACGAAAATTTTTACATTATTCTTTATAAATTCAATTATGTAAATTTTTACATATATAGTACTTTAAAACACATTCTTAATATTTATTCTCAAAAACTTTAAATTTTTAACAAAAACGTATATGAAAAAAATTAATGAGAGATGGAGAATGAAAATATTTATCATATTTACAATGAAAATTTTATATACAGAAAACTTTGTATGGATTTTGCTTCGCAGGCGATTAAACGATCACCGCAATCCGTAAATATTGCTTTCTTGGGCAATAGGTTTAAAATGAAATATTTTTTCATAAGAATGAAAAGAATGCAAAATATTTTTCATTCTTTTCAAAATTTTTCATTCATAATAAAGTTCTTGTGTTAACCAATTTATGCGATACAGGTTATAATAATATTTATTGTTTATTATCTTCGCTTGTATCGCTAGAAACCTACACACATAGCAAATAGTAATTTTTTTTTCTCGTGACTATTTCTCAAATTTGTTTTTATAAATGCTTTCACAAATTTCGGACGTTGACACACTATATTGTTTCATACCGAATTATTCAAAAAATTGCCACACAATTCTACAATTGTGAATTATCAGTTTAACTTTAACTGCAACTTGCATAAATTATAGTTCAATTGTGACTTTGGTTGTTTGATTATTTTATGGTATCGAACTATATATTCAATATGATTTCGTATAAAAAAGGAGTCGAAAAGGAAATTTACAACAAAATTAATATTATTGAATAAATAGTTTCTTACAGCACAAGTATTCATAAAATTAATTTCAATTTTGCTAACTTATCGCGTACGTTTTGCTGCGTTGAGATATATTCCTTAGAAAAAATTGTTTTGAACCTATTGCGAATAGCCCTTACATTATTGTGAATTATAAAAGAAGCTGAACAGCTGTCAAGATTTTGTTTACGTTGTTATTGTGAATTTGCTACATTATTAAAGTAAAAAGTCTTTCGGTAATTGTTGCAGTATATTTAATAAAAATATATTAAGATTATAAAAATAATAAAGTAGAAGTAATAAATATTGTAATGTAAATTTAAAGTAATGTAAAAAAATTGAATTAAAGTATTGAAGTAATTTTGCACTGGGTAGCCACACCTTTATCCTCCGCTTCAAAGGACCAGTTGAGTATAGTTTAAAAACTGTAACCAGAGCTATTTATACAATAGCAAAAAGATATAACTAGAATGACTGAAGCGAAAAAAAGTCGCATAACTGCGGCGTATCGAAAACACAGGTCGCTGCAATTGGAAGTACGGGACTTCGAGGAAGATAATGCAACATTCGCAGCGCACTTAGCCGATCAACTACGTCGCTTGCCAACGGACACACGTGCAAATGCCATGGTGGAGATCCTGTCAATTCTAAATCGTTTCGTGAGGGTGCAAGGTGAGAATTGAATGTTAGGAGTGAAGAAAACTAACTGAAATTATTTAATTAAATGAATATTTGTAATTGCTATCTGGAATATGCTTTAAGCTATTCCCAACTGTTCCTAAACCAAAATTGTTTTTCAATATTTGCAATTTTGTATGCACTGCGGATAAAAGTCTGTGTTTCAATACTCGTTTATATATCTTGTAATTTGTGTCGAAGGAAATGGGGTGCTCGCACTCCGTTGTCTGTAGTTCCCAACTGAGTCAATGAATCAACGATAAAAGCTAAAACGCAAGTATACGAATAAGGAATTTGTGATTTATATTTTATAATTATGTAAAAATTAAAATTAAATGTACTCCAAATCTGTTAATGTGTAAGTGCTAAACCGATTTGAAATAGTTGTAACAATTGATAATATTTAAAATGTTTAAAATTACGTTTTTTTAACTTTATTTAAAATCGATTCATAATAAAAATGTTGATAAAGTAATATTTGGCGTTGTATTTATTACGCAAAAATCTATGTTCATGTTCATGTTGAGTCCTTTTCGAATGAGTGGATCTGAATGAGTGCATTTACTCTTTGATAGCTGGGGGCTAGAGGTTTCTGCAGAGTCCCACGGACTAATTTATGTATTCCTCAAAAACTTCGTGATTATTCGATGACTGATCTAAGATCTATGTACTGCCTCGTGCGGCTAGAGATTATTCTGAGATTATATAGTGCTTAGTAGTAGTGCTTTCTAATCTTATTTGGAATATTGTCGATAAAGAAGCCACCTAATCTGAGGTCCTTTACTAAGAGTCCGTTCATTTAGGAAATTTTGTAAAGACCAAAATTATTTAAACACAATTGTGGCGTTATTTTCCAACACACAGTAATAATTCTTCATTCGATTCTGTATAATTAATTATAAATTTTAGCTATTACTATATTTTAACCATGTTAACTATATTTTAATTTTAAATGCATGTCAACATGTAGTGGATGATAGTGCCAACTCATCTCATAGGAAGACCAAGCTCACTTCGTCTGAACTGAAGTGAACTGAAGAAAATGTGGACCCATTGTGGTACTACATTTTTGATTAAAGGTGCAATGTCCTTAATTTCTATATCTGTGATATCGATCAAACTCTTGAAAGAAAACCAAAAGTGAAAAAACATTTTCTGGCAAATGCGGTGTAGTGAGATAACAAATAAGTGTTGCTTTCCTCTTCCTAAAACCTATAGGTATGTTTAGAATACGATTACTAAAGTATCATAATTGAGAACATTAATTATTGTTGTTAACGGGAGAGAAAACTTCCAAACATTGACAGAACAGACAATTGACAGTTTCCTCAACCTCTCTTCGTCTGAGCCACAGTTAAATGTGAATTTTGAAATATTGCATTTGAGTTGGTTCATTAATGTTGCTGTTGGGTGAGACACAAAAAAATCCTCAAGTGAATAAAAACTTTCTGGTGTATGCGGAGCTTCGACAAAACTGTTGACAAAGAGGTAAAGGATCCCTCTTCCTCTGAGCCACAGTTAAATGTGAATTTTGAAATATTGCACTTAAGATCGTTTGTAATGCTTATCACTTTACTGGGAACTCTAAAAACATACCAGTGTTTTTTTGAGTTTTTCTCGAGAGGTGTTAGCGGCAATAGATTCCAGGCCATTTGTATTCGGTTTCTTGCTTTTCATATTTATTTTATTCGTAATAAGTTTCACAAAAGAAATGCTAATTAGATTTCTAAACCCATAATTCCCATTAACCATTCCATAATGCCATATTTGATCTGTTACTCCTAACAACTTATTGGGAGTTTATAGCTACTTACTACACGATTTTCTGTAACTCATTTACGGGAATTAATCATTAATTAATTAGAATTAGTTTTATAAGTAAATACTTCACCTTCATGAATGCTCTTTACTTTTTGAATAGTAATTCATTTTTAATAAAGAAAAAACCTACAAAAATTTATTAATTATTTTTCGACGTGTTTATTAAAATGTTACAATATAGACGAAAGACCAAAGAGGATGACGTATCGTAATCCTGACGATGACTCTCAAGGAGTCCAAATATAAAGTATAATAAAAAATATTATTTAACAAAAAGGGATCTATAGCAGTTAAAAAATATATAAAAAACCACTAAAGAAAAGATCTTGATAGAAAACTTTTGTGCTCAATATGCTTTTTATTTATGAATCCTTATCGAAGGATATAATAAAACATTTTATTATAGTTTTGTTTCAATAAATTTTGAATTATTGTCCTGACATCGACAATTATTTCAAATCAAAAAAGTTCCGTTTAAAGCGCAATCAATTTTGATTATTAAATTTTTTTATAACGTTTAGGACTAACACTGTAATCGTAACTCTAAAAGCTTGGAGCCTGTTGTAACACACATTAAAATGAAACCATTTGCATGATTAAGCATGATGATAACTAAAGCAGCTGAAGTAATGTCTCGGGTGTTGATAAAAAATTTTTATCTAAAAGTTTTATATGTATATTTACTATTAGCAAATATCGTGTATTGTGTTATGTTATTATGTCCTGCTTTAATTTGTTTCGATATCTATTTCTAATAGCAATGAGTTCATCGAAGAAAAGCAAGACTAAAGTTGAATGTGGCGCTAGTCTAAGATAATTAGCCCAGAATCCTTTGTATAGACCATATAAACCCTCGGCGCGTGATATTTTTACAAAACAATCGAGCCATCCTCTGTAGTACAAGCCACGTCCGTGCTCATCCACGCCTTGATTATACAGACGAGTGGTAATGACATCGGGAGGCGTGATTGCAAGTGACATTATGGAACCAGCAATGAGACCTGCAGAGAAGGAGTTCAATGTTGGTTGCGTTACGAGATTGTATTCAACCAGCAGGGCTTTTGTTTTGCCAAAAGTGGCAATTTGCGCGCCCGATCCGATCGCAGCACGTGGTATAGCTGCAACCGAACCACGCCATAAGCCGAAGAACCCGCCTTTGCTGTAAATCTGCTTCAGTGCATCCATCATGCCATTGTGCGTGTGCTGATAACCCACAGCGATTTGCTTAGCAGCCTGCGACTGTAGTTGTGTTTTTATCTACAAAAAAACATTTCGTCAATAAAAACACTAATAAAAACTTAAGAAATAAATAAAAATAAAATATTTAGTTATTAAAAGCGCTTCACACTATCTGCTTTATATAAACGTTATCAATTATTTCCCTCTATAACTCTGTGATGATGATGAGATGAGGAGACGTACACATGTTTATTGTATATCTTATCATAATTCGGATGATTTTATTGGTACCTCAAATAAATTTTATGAAATGAAAATACGCGTACATCACTCGCATGTGGACTCAATGCCATGATTTTACCTGCTTTTACGCTTTTATGCTTTTATGGTTAACTTGCATCGTAACTACAAGTTTAGTCAAATAATATATAAATTTATTAAAATTGTTCGTAATTCTGATGTTATAAAATATTTATAGGTGGAGGCCAAAGGCAGAGAAGAGGAACGATAGTTGAAACGTGTCTAATATCTAACGCAAAATCTCGCTACTCACCATGAAAAACGGACTGGAAAAGTAAGACCCAATCACACCACCAGCTGCTCCCCAAAACAAGCCACGACCAAACGAAACATCACCGTTCGCTTTGTGCATCCACCCATTGTCCATAGCTGTTGTGTAAATGCTCAACCTAAGCGGAGAGATTCGAAGGAAGTTCATTCTATGGGGGAGATTCTTTGAGATATTCTACGAGTATTTCGCTTACCGAAATGAATTAATAATAAATTGAAAGTATAATGCGGGCACGAGACCTTTTTGTAGGCCCAGCAAGCCATCATTTTTCGCTACCGTGTAGAAGGCGTGCAGCACACCCTTGTATGGCACAACATAGGTTCCCCGCGCCGCCAACTCGCCTTGAAGTTGTATGCGCGTCTTGATGACCTGTAGACGTGTGTGGGCGATAATTGAAATGCAATATTAGTAAGCGTTTAAATATAGCGAGCAAGTCACTAACTAAATATACATAATTGCTTTATAACCTCAATTGGATTTGTGAAAAATGTTGCGGCCATTGAGGCGATTCCGCCCAACACGAAGTCCGAGTCCATTTCACTCAACCGCTCAATCGCTCAACCGCGTTTTCTATTTAAAACCTAACACCGCTTTCTAGTCTATTAATTATAAATATTTTATTCAATAGTTTTCCACTGCTCTACATCACTTTGCACTGTGTTTTTTTATGCACATTTCTACGTGCAAATTATTTTTGGATTTTTTTGGTATTCAAAGTTCAACGTTTCCATTAAGACTTTCCATTACGACATCTAAAATTAGATTTCCGCACTGCTCCGCTTAAACGCCGTTTGGCGATTGTTTACATTCTCGTGAAAAGCACGGATTTTATTATTTTTCACAAATGTGCTCTTGTGTAATTCGCGTTGATTTTCGCGTGCAATGCCCCGCCGATCACCGCATTATCTTTCAACGAAAACCAAAAACTATTCTTGCTTGTTTTGTTTTGCTTGTTTATTATGTTTTTTGCTCGCAGTGAACAGCTGATTTTTATTTTGATTACCACAGCTGCTGACGTTTCTCAACAATACCGCATTTCCGAGTTGAACACGAGGTGACATAGTATTAGGACATTGTTGATCTATGGTGAATTCAAAGTGTCAACAACAAGGGAAATATGTGTTGGCACAAACTCTTCCCATTATTAACAAATCAGAACGATTTGGTTTAGGTGTTCGCTTATTGTTATTTTCGTTTTCAAACGCAGGCATAGACCGACCGTATTTTTGCAAAGAAATCTGAACAAAAACAAGTCACGAAACCTGCAAAGCTTTTCATAGTCTTCGGGCGAATTTCAATGAGCTCAAGAAAGCGCAACAAAGACCGTATTATTATTATAAAAATATCGAAATTGATTAGATTTCATTCAAAACTTTCTGTAACTTTCTGATTTGAAGGACTTACAGGATTCTTATCATTTAAGCTTATTAAATTCTCATGAATTGATATTTGTTAATTTGTATTGTAGTTAGAAAGACTGTGATGCATGGAGCAACCTAAGAGTGGGCTGTAAGCTGTAGTGAATGATTAAACAAAATGTTTTGTTTTTGTGTGTTTTCAATAGATATGCATTTATGTTTTTTGAAAGAAAACAATTTATTCTTGTAAATATAACCACCTGTAGAATAGCTAGGATTATATACGAGGAAAAGTACACCAAGAATGTTATATCGTCTAGCCGAAGGAACTGTAGAACATTAGTTGTTGTGTTGACAGGTCACTGTCTGGTCGCATCACATGCCCGCAAACTAAACCTAATTCACAGCGATGCTTTTTGGAAATGCAATGAGCTAGATGCAAAGGAAACTTTAGAGCATCTGCTGTGTAATTACTCAGCTCTCTCGAAAATTAGACAAAAATAATTGGGGGCTGTCAGTTCTACCGGTGAAGTGGCCACAGTGAAGGATTAGACGAATAGACTACGATACGACTTGGGTCCTTTTTCGTCTTTCGATTCTTCGATGTCACTATTGAGTTAAAGCTAGAGAAGCTTCCATTTGCATGATTACATCTCTTGTTATTGCAAGCAGCTCATTTGCCTTGAGGTTGTGTGCATTTCATAACCAACCCAATGGTGTCCCAACACAGTCATACTCCTGCCTCCTGCATCGCTGTCTCCTATTCTTCTAGGCATAGTCTGCAAGTGCCTTTCTCAATAAGAGTTATCTTTTTGTGGTTATACTTGAAGTTTTCATGTCCATACAGTAATCAATGAGGTAATCAATATACACAGCCAGCTTAGGGTGCTCCGCGGATAGCTAAGCACTTTTATCGCTTCCCTGGCCAACAGTTTTGGCATCATGAGTTTAATCTGCCTACAAGTGTTCATCTCTTTCCATCTGTTAAAATGAAGTGAAGTTATGTTGTAGCCCAAAGGTATTCTCTGAGCTCTGGGTCGCAGAAATTATGGCTTCATTCTTGCTTTGTAAATTCATAAGCCTTTTCGTTTTGCTAAATACCGATATGTCATTTAACCCACATGACTGTCACCTCATTTCCATGAGCTTCGTGACACATTCTTGTACTAAGCTATCCTTTAACAACATTAATAATACAATTAAATATATATACTCGCAACTATTCCATTTTAAAATATTATATTGTGATAGAATTACAACACATTCTATTTTTTGATACACAATTTTTTTTAAATACTTCAATGAGATTGTATAAGTACTTATATAATTTGTTCGGTTAGCTGCAAATATTTACAAGAAAACAAAATGTTGGTTTGAAAATATTTTCTTTTTTATAGCATTGTTCTATGCAATGCTTATATTTGATATAAAAAATACTTGTGTATTGGTATATAATAAAATCTAATTTTAAAAGGAAGAGTAGTTCCCCACAGGGAGAACTACCTAAATTGTAAATTATTAAGACTTCATTCTTGTTTATTAAAAAATTGTAAAATGTTACAATACTATTTGACAGAATACATATTGAATTAAAATTAAATAATAAAAAATATGTATATATTGGTGTAGCTTGCTTGTTCTAGACATCTGGCCTTAATACTCTAAATTTTTACATTGTTTACCCAAATAACTAGACACACCACCTAGTGGCAATTTGCTCATGTATTATTAATACTCTAAATTTTTACATTGTGTACCCAAATAACTAGACACACCACCTAGCGGCAATTTGCTTATGTATTATATTACTTATACAAACGACGACTAACTGTAATGGCTTCATTACTAACTGTAATGACTTGTTGGCGTAACAGTTTTCTATTCAAAATTTGCAGCTGAAGCCTTCTATATAGAAACATAATTATTTTTTAATGAAAATATGCGTACATACACAAAATATACAAACATACATAAATAACTACAGTCAAACTTCATTAACTCGAACTTCTAATACTCGAATTTCTCTATTTCTCTATAAGAAATATGGAAAACGGCATTCTATAAGTCGAATTTTTGTTTTAAGTATAAATGCATTTTGCTGTTAGGGGTAGTCCCTTTTTCCGAACCAAATGTTTAATTTTTTCTTTCTTAAGTTGCTTCTTTGTGCTAGTCGCTAGCAGCGTGGTTTAAAGTAAATAAAATAACCTCCAATGCTACTCTTAACGGTTATAATGAGCTTGACAATGAAATTTGTACATCAAGCTTTTCTACAGATGACGATTGAGTAGCTCTAAATTACTGGATCCCATTTAAGCGCAACGGAAAGTGATGATGAGGATTCCGTGTGTGTAATTGTTTATCAGCCTTTCAAGAATAAAGTAGAAGACTCATTCAATTTTCTGTGTTTATATTTGCAAACCAATGATACTACAACTGATGATCACTATAAGGCTTTAAATAGAATGGAATGTCTTTTTACTGAAAATAACAAAAAAAAATTAAAATCCCATAACTAATTTCTAATTATTTTACTTCACTATAACTTCTGTGCTGTGTTTGATTTTAAATAAATAAATAAGTATCTTAAAACGTAGTTCTAGTTTCTTTCAAAAATAAAAAAAAAATAAAACAGTTCTCTAACTCAAACTCTCCATAAGTCGAACCTTTTCTTTGCAAAATTGGACTTCGAGTTACGGAAGTTTGACTGCATTTGTAAAAAATGATGAGAGTTATATCAGAGTAAATAAACAAAAAAAATATTTTATGGTCAGTGGTCGGTACACATATTGCTTAAAAACTTAGAAATAATAAATAATTAATTATTTTAATTAACTATTTAATTACATGACATTTGTGTTGAGACAAATCACGAAAGCTCCACAGCGTTTCGCAATTTTTGGGCTAATTTTCACGATCTTATAAAATTACTGCCATTTTTAATAATACGTTCTTTGTTTGTATTATTACGGTCTTCATATTAAACAAAAAGCATCTAAAATCTGGTTTAAGTATTCGCTAAACTCTTTAATAAGGTTATCACTATAATAAAAAATACCCACTTTTTAAATTCCCGGTAATAATGAGGACGCGTAATAAAACGCTTGGAAAATACAAAACGTGAATATATTTTGATTGTTTTAAACCAACATTTGAACTGATCTGATTTGATGAGCATATGTATTTTTATCGTGATAAACCCACCGGCTTATTATCGTTAATATAAAAAATTGTGCAGTTGTTACTTTGCCAAGCAGTATCAATGAAGTTTAAATAGAATATTTTCTACAAATGTTCTGCTATTACTAAGTAGGCAATTGCAATGATATATTTCTTTATAAATAATTTCTAATTATTCCGCTATATCTCCACGTTTGTGTTATACCCAACTCAAGGCCCCATTTAATTTAATATGCCTCTTGCGATAAACATACATAAACAATGCTATGAAGCCAAAACTGTTCCTAGGGAGGTGTTTTTAACCTGATATGTGATATAAATATATACAGCTATGACCCATTTTTATATCGTGTTCAAGAAAAATAATGTTTTCCATATTTACTGTAAATACTGGTACATATTCCTTTTATTTCTTTTCTTATCTTCCAATTTATTTGCTTGTTCCGCTGCGTCTATGTTGCCTAGGATTCTTTAAATACATGATTTCCATAAATTATTCGTTTCTGTATCTACACTTATCTTGGAGAGTTTCTATTCACATTTGGGAGTGGGTTTTGCATTAGCCTGCATAAAGCCTGTACCCATTAACAGGTATTACTTTTTTATTTATAGACGATATATTTTCCATGTTGAAGAAGCAGCGAAGAGATTACCTTATGCATTTCCTGGCATGGCTGTATTGACTCATTTTCTTTTCTTATGCATATGCAGTATTTTCGGCTTTCTTGTGGTCTCTGGAATACTAGTGGTACTCTGCATATTGTAAGACACAACAATCAAATATCGATTAATAAAAAAGGGCAAAAAAATGATTGAAAGTGGGATTTAATATATAATATCTGAAGCTTCCAAATACAATTGGGGTTTATTGCTTTATAATGTCTCCAATAGTTATTATATTATAATTTCACTGAAGGTTTTGGAGTTTAGTTTTGGTGTTCAGTTTTCTGATGATGACTTTAGAAATTATTGTAAACCAAATCATGATTTCTTTTCTTAATTTTTATTTTTTAACAACAATATAAATTTTGACTAATAAGCCTGTAAAAAAAAACTATTAAAATCGTTTGGTCACAAAATAATAAATATTTATAAATGCTTTTTACATTTTTCAGAAAGTCAAGAACAAAATGTTTGTCGAGTGTACATATTTCCTTTCCTAATGTAAGGAACTGAAATTAAGAGTATATATTGTGACACTAACACAATATACTCACAGGATATTGTTCATATTGTTATTTAAATGGAATACACACTGTAAATGGAGCTATCTTTAACTAAATCCAACTAGCTTAACTTAACTTAGAGATCAGAATTTCACGCCACATACATTACGAAAGAATCAGCAAAATCTTGGAAATTCAGCCCATGCTTGGAACCCCAAACATGGGCAGCAAAATCGGCCCGTAAACTAAGATACCTGGCTAAAGGTAAATTAAATTGAAAACATCTAACAGATAGGCTAAGTTCTCATTCTTAAGATCTATGATTGTATACTTTAGTACACTTTAGTATGGCAAAGTGTTTCGTGTGTTAAATAATAACAGTTCTCATAGGCTTTTGATTTCGATTACATAGAGAATTAGAACAAAAAATATTCATTTATAAACGATGACATACTTTATATAAATAATAAGCAATTACAGATAGCTCAAAACCTGGCTTTAAGAAGACTGTTTAAGATTCCATGGTATATTAGATCAACAGACATACATAGAGATCTTAGGATTGACTCAATGAAAAAATATATCAGAGACAGAGCTCTAAAATTATTCACTAAAGTTGATACGCTACTTAACCCCACTCTAACAATCCTCAAGTCCACTTCTGGATTCTCAGTAAGATATGCTGATTTAAGGTCCTTCATCAACTAAAAGACAAAGAAATGATATGACTTCTTAGCCTAGTTAAAGCCTAGTGTGGGGTAGTGTTAAGCCCCCCAGGCCTTTATAGAGTAAAAGTGTGTAATAGGCACTAACTCAAGAACAAGAAGAAGAAGAAGAATGTTTACATAATATACTCCCTTGTTTGTAAAAAACTATTTTCATATGTTTATACTATATAGTAAAGAAGTTATACTGCATTAAAAATCCAATAAATACAATGAAAATATTTATCTATGAAATTCGTGATATATTAATACAGAAGCCAAAATTTAGCTTCATATGGGTTAAGAAGTCTGTTTAAAATTTTTTAGAGAAATATTTAAACTGAGGTGAATTATATTTACCTATCTATTGAGAATCGCAAGGCGCCACTTTTAACTATAATATATGTATTTTAAAATAAATATTATATTTTAGACGTTTTGCAGGATTTAAATTTCCCTTATAATACATAAAGGATACTCCTTTATCGTTAGTATCTTCAAAAAAGATATCTTCTAAGTATCTTCCTTCTAAAATATCTATCTTAGTAAACAGGTTATCTGACTTCAGGAAGGTTCCTAACCATTTATACTGATGGCTCTAACATAAGTAAAAAGGTTAGTAATATATAATAGGTTATCTTTTAACTGCAGCCACTTTCAAGTTGTGATTTCTATTTCTATAACTGTAGTTTTTCTTGACGTGACACATACTTTGAATTTAGGATGGTCTTTTTAGGATAGTCGTTTTTTTAATACCATGGAGCCTACAACAGATTTCACTGCAATATATCTCTAAACATTACATCTTATTGGAACGGTGACTATGTACTAGAATTATAGCTCACAGGGTCTGGATCCTACAAATCCTACTAAGGTCTTGTCTAAAAACACACTTTAAATATGCTTCGTGACATTGTCTAAGGAACGGAATTTCAATAACTTTTTTTGCAAAAATGTTTACTACTTAACTTATCTTAAATCGAGATATAAATGTGGTTCATTATTACTCTTCTTTGGACTCTCAGTCATTAAGATATCATAAGTCATTGCAAAGCGAAAGAACTAGCCTAACAATATGTCCTAGAAACACATTGAGAACATCTTGGTACATCCCTAGCATCACGAAAACATTTACTGAAAAAATTTTGTTTTAAATAATTTAATTCAATATGGCAAGGACAAAAGGAGTACGGAGACATCTGTGAGCCAGTTGGCTTTTAGTAAATGGAAAAAATGTGAAATCTCATAAAGATGCTCTGTCAAGACATAAGTTTTACAGTGGACTCACTGTCGGGACTAATAGAAATATGTAGATATCTGCGAACCAGTTATTTTTTAATAAAAAGAAAAAATATAGTCATCTCATAAATATGTTTCTGTAACGCATATGTTTTACAATCGATCTTCTGATGGGTCATTGTCGATTAGGCAACCATATAACGAAATTGAATATATCTTTAATGACATTTCCTGCAGCTATTAAGAAGGCGATGAAAGTGCTTGACTTTATCATTATTAGGGCTTTAAATATTTTATAATCCTCTTCGTTTTGAGCGTTTATATAATGATCCAAGATGCAGAAGTAGATCTCTAGCATTATCATAATAAAGCGGATTGAAAATGGTAATATAATGTTTTCAAAGGATTTTAGTCTTTTGTAAGACTTTCTCCCCAAATCTATTGACTTTTTTACGACAACACAATGGGTCATTGTGCTCCTTATATCATTCGGATCACCGTTTCGACTTAACCGAACCTTGGGAAGAGATATGGTGTAAGGGTGAACATTTAAAGTTTTATAACAAATTTATTCAATAATTGCAAATATTTCTTACAAAATAATTACATATAAATATTGTATTAATGTTATTTGCTTGTTATATTAAATATTCCAAAATATTAGGGTTAATGAGTTTGTTAAATGTAACAATGTAACAATGAAACAATTCAGTTAATTTTTTACATATTTTTATGTCGCTGGTTGTGTCTTAAAGGCCACAATTGCGCACAAATTGGCCTGGATTTTAAATTTCTATTTACTTTTTTATTTAGTAATAATTTGCTTAAATCTTTATAATTGTTTTTATTTAAACTAACATAACAACAAAGGTTATGTGCAAAATTCTTTGTGGACTTAAGTGCTAGAATTGTAACATAAGTATTATTGTTATTTTTATTTTTTTCTTTAAGATGAGTTCTCTTAATTATTCGTTGAGAACTGCATTGGCAATAGTTTGTTCTTTGGCAATAACTTTAGGAGAGTGGCACTTCTTCCATGGCGCGAAGTTTGTTGTTGGGCTTTTCTTCGGGTGCTTCACGTCTGAAGACAATTTTAAAAGAATATGCAGCGATTGCTGAGCCTATCAATGGACCAACCCAGTAAACCCAATGATCTGTAAAATCAAAGTTCCACAATGCAGGAGCAAATGATCTGGCGGGGTTCATGCTGGCACCGGTGAATGGTCCCTGCAATCAAAAATATTTTTAAATACATAAGTACAATGCTATTTAGCAATTTTTTATATAAAAAAACAAATAAATTACCCCTGAGCAAGCCAAGCAGGCAACTGCCAAACCGAAACGAATTGGAACGGAATCATGGAATTTGGCATTACGTGGATCCCAAACGCCACAGCAAACTAAAACCAAAATTCCAGTGATTATGGCTTCAATAGCGCAACCTTGTGCACCACTAAGATCGTCATGTACCACTGTTACACAGAGGCCATGTTCTGCTCCTTTTACATTAATTGCATTGTCCGGCAACACAAGTTTCAGTAAACCATACCCAATGAAACCGCCTAGCATTTGTCCTACTACGTAGACAGCTGCCATTGGTAACGAAATCATTTTATATATAAAAGCGGCCAATGTGACTGCGGGATTTAAATGAGAACCAGAGACACAGGCAAAGCACTGTACTGCAATCATAATGACCAAACCGAAATTTAGTACCATTTGCAAATGATTATTGGGAAAAGAATCATTTTTCACACAACCCATACAGCCCAAAAATACGAGTATGGCCGTGCCGACCAATTCACCCAAGAAAGAGGAGATCTTGTCTATAACGGCACCCTTCATTTTCAAGCGTTCCAAACAACTGTAAAAAAAAATAAAAATAGTTTTTAATAAAAAGTAGATAATTAAGGTAATTAACTATTTTAATAGAGTTATTAAATATAATATAAATATAATATAAACTGCACTTGATTTTGTAAGCTTTTATTAACATCGAATATTTTGTTAAGTGCAGTTGCATTTGTTTGAAGACGTACTAAAATGTACTAAAAATCAATAATAGAATATTTCTATCCTTCAAATATTTATATAATTCTTCATCAAGACCTATACGAGGTATTCAGAAATTGTTTAGAGTATTTCGAGGAATTTTGTATATTCAACATATCTATGTTATATGTTTTATATATCATATATAATATATCGTATATATTATCTGTATGTAAAATTACAATATCAACTTTAGTGAATTACTTAGTTCAAAGGCCACAGAGTAGCTTAAAATTTTTTTTAGTTCCAATCATATGTATCAGATTTGAATTCAACAAAACTCGTTGCTGTAAAAAGTCCCGTCAATTAACATGGAACGCAACCGCAATTAACTAAGTAAAGTACAGGAAATAATAATAGCAGTTCGTTCAATATCGAATTCACCCTACGTTTATGCAATGAATCAGAAACACAGAATTTTCCCAATCGAAGTTTCAATAAAACTGAACAGATCGCTTCATAAAAATATTATATTTAATATAACTTCGAAAAATTCATATTTCATTCTATATATTATATATGATATACTTTCTGTCGCAATTCGCTAAGTAAAGTACAGGAAATGATAATAGCAGTTAGTTCAATATCGAATTCACCTTACGTTTATGCAATGAATCCATCCACGCATATTGGAAAGGTCTTTCAGAAACACAGAATTTTCCCAATCGAAGTTTCAATAAAACTGAACAGATCGCTTCATAAAAAAATTATATTTAATATAACTTCGGAAAATACATATATCAATCGATATATTATATATGATATTTGAAATTTTTAGTGACTTATTAAATTTTAAGACCCAATGTAAGAGTAAACATAACAATTTAGTCTTCTCTATATATAACATCGAAAATTTAAAATACAACGCTTATAAATATATAATTAAATTTATTATATTATATATTTAATATGTTTAATGTATCGAAAAATTTACCACAAAATTTTTGAACCATGTACAATTTAAAATTTGCATAAGTTTTAAGAATAATAGGCGTTTTACAAATAATAAAAAGCCCTTAACAGATCTCTTATTACTACGGAAAGATATGATAGTGCACTTTGATGACTACATAACCTCTAAAAAAAACATCATAAGTAAGATGTAGAATACGTGGTTCTTTTAAGTTTTTAATAAGGGACCCATTGTGATACCATAGTTATGAATAAACATCAGTAAAACAATTTGAAACAAACGGGCATTGTTCTTAATATCTTCACTAGGATTAACGTAGAAACAATTGAGAAAAATGACCCTTTGTATACCATATACACACTTTCTACCAAGTGCTGGATATTAACAGAATAGACTAATGATATTTTTCTTTTATTTCTCTGACCCATAGTCACAGTAGCAGTCGTTGGAAATAGTCTTATAGCAGGCTCTTACCGCCACATGCTTGCACATAAGATAGTGTCTTATCAGTACAGTACTTAAATTGAACAGTAACAATTGGAGCACTCTTGGGCTAAATATTTAAATACTTCTAAAGAACGTTTGAAAAAGCATATTAACCACAATTATGACAATATCACTTTGCAGAGAGACATGCAAGGAAAAGTGTAGAGAGACAGATATAGGAAAGTTCATTTCGTGATGTAAAGCTTATGACAAATATGACAAAAAATGAATGACCTTAAAAAATTAATATAGAATATATAAAAATATATATAACATATACAAGTGAATTCGACCGCTCTGAAGTGTGACAAAAAACAACAAATCGCTTGCTTAAAATCGCTAATTTGTGCGCAAAACAACAACACTACTTTCTCTATCTAAGCGACTAGTTATGAAATGGCTGAACATCTTAGCGACTTTAGAGAAAAATGTTACCAAAGCGATTAGTGATCTTCATTGGAAATTTCAATGAATATTCCAATCATATGTCAAAAGTTTATAAAGAAAAACTCAAACAAAATAACAAAGTTTCACAAATTTGAAAACTGTGGAAATGGAAATTTTTTAACATATTAGTTGCTAACAAATTAATACTCATTCAGTCTTAGATAAATTAAACTATTATTAATTTTGTTGTAAAAGGAAATTTCAAAGCTTCCTACGTTTCATGATTGCTTTTAGTTAATTATTAATTTTAATTTTTAATTTTATATTAATTAATTATTTTTATATAATTTGCTTGCATTATATCAGATTTACTCCAATATTTGACAGTTTGCAGCTGTGATGCTAATATGTCACTTAGCGACCTTAAGCAAGCGACTTGCTGTTTTTTTGCCACATATCAGAGAGTCAAATACAGTTAATAATGCTATTAATGAAGAAATAATAGGTATGTTAGAATATAAAAATAAGTATAAGTGCGAGTTGTTGCCTTTTATTGAGATAAATAAAACCTATATCCTTGACAGATACGGACAACTATGAAATCAAAATGGCAACTGATGCAATGATTTAAGCAAATTGAAGGTGTTTGCTTTATCGTATTCATATATATGATAGAAAGCATACTTGTCGTTTTAAAACTGTTGGGATATGATTTCTTCAGAACTGTAGGTGGAAATTTTATGATATGGACTTGTAAATACTTTGACTAGATAGATTTCAATTTAACCAATTTTTTCCACTGTTATAATTGTTGTAAGAAGCAATGGTATAGAATCCATCATACTCTTGTTGTCTTCCTACTAAAACGATACTTTGATGATAACTGATTTGGAGCTCTGACTTTGTAAGTGTATGCAGATATCATTAAGAAAGTGACAATTATTTAAAATGAAGGTATTGGGTACACAGCTTACTTGTACTGGCTTCATCTTGAAACTAATTCACTTATAGAATGAAACTTAAACCAAACGATATTGTAGAGATTACTTTGACATACTTGTACTGTGTATGAGTTCGAAACTTCATCTTGTGAGTTGTAAAGTGTTTCGCAGCCGTTACCGGATTATGATTATTGTTTATTTCGAAACTTGTTCAATTAAATTTTATTAAATGTTTTTGTATTCGATAAGAAAAGCACACAATTTTTTATAACTAAGTATCATTAAATTGGTTAAAAGTCATGTAAGGTTGTGATAATGTGAACACACATTTGTCAAGATACCTAGTCATGTCATTAGCCATCAGTTGATTGATAGCAGTTTTTTTTCCAAGCTAGAAAAATATTTTCCTCTCCAAGAGTTTTCTTTGTTAGTACTGAGACTGGCTAATTCCGAAGTTAAAGCCAGGCTGAAGCCAGGCTGAAAAAGCAGTTAACTAACTAAAATTTTGGTATGTTAATGAATTGTAATGGTTTTCATAAAAAGTATACGAGTATGTAGAGAGATTTCAAGTGTGATATTTTCAAGTTGTCACTGTTCTCTGTTCAATGCTCTGGCACAAAAACCGGCTTCCATGCATTGGAGTCGCATTCTAATTTGAAATGCAACTAACGCCAAATATAAAATCGGCTGAATTCCGAGATATTTTTATTTTTTCGAAGCTTTTTCATGTAACTAAACTGTGATTTTGAACTTAAAAATATTTCGTAGCAGTGCACGTACCTTGTTGTGGATTTGTTGCCCGGCTCCATTAAAATTGTTCTTTTGATTAATGTTAATTATATATTTATTTTCGGTTTTATTGCCAAAAGTGTTTGAATAAATCAAAATCGAAAACGAAAACGAATTCGAATTCTCTGTTCGCTCACTCAAACTTAGTTCCGTTCAACTCAACTCAACTTAGCTCAACTCGATTTAATTCAAATTAATTTAATTTAATTTAATTTAATTAATTAAATTTAATTTAACATTTATTTTATTAACAATATTAATAATTTATTATGGTTTCTTGAATGAAAGCTTGCTTCCGTCTTTTCGATTTGAAGTCAAAATTTAAACTGCAAATGATTTTACCAATCTTGCCGGCAAAACTTTTAACCCTCTTTCGGAGATCTATCAACCAGTTCTGCTCATATCAGTCACTCTGGTTTCGTTTTTTGGTTTTGATTTTGATTTTGATTTTCCGTTCAAATATTGTTTGTTTTGAGCTTTTGCTTTGTTTTGTTATTGTTTTTGTTATTGTTGTTGTTGTTATTGTTATTGTTATTATTATTATTAAAAATTGTTCGTTGATTATGAAAATAATTCTTTTTAACTTCTTTAAATTTTTAACATAGAGAGAAGTCTTATCGATATCAGAACGCCTGGTTGGTTGGCTATCTTTAAATCACAGCAGATAAATGTCAACAATCCGAAGTATTGGGCAATACTGCTGGAGAATTGCGAATTTCCCGACACAAAAATTTTTGAAGTTACGATTGTATCTAAAGTGGCTATAAGTGCTCGAATATAATCCTTTATGCTAGACGATAATTGTCTAATCTAATCGTCACATTAAAATGCATGATTTTGTCAATAACCTTTGCAGTTAGTCCGCGCGATTGCTAATGGTTCTGTCAAAGAATGTCAATTTATTAAAAGACAATTATACTGGTTAAGTCGCGTTCTTTATCAATTTTTATTAGGTTATTTTTATTATAACTTGTAGCTTACAATTTTTTATCTCATATGTATATATACTGTGATAGTGGCACGTTGTTCTGTAATCATGGCACTTTTCAATTACAATAAGCCACCATGAACACATGCGTAAGTAGGCTTTGGAATATCTCTAAAATATATTTAAACATACTAATACTATATATTATTATGTATGACACTTCAACTCCAATCTGATACGTTTAAATAAATCAAATAAATATAAATACATGTCGTTTGAAAATAGATTAGTCTTAAGTGGGACAATTGACAAGTATTATTATGCCGAAGTGGTCTGCTAGACTGGGTTACTGGGTGATAGGCATCGAA